GGGGGCCGCGGCCCCCAGTTTGAGAACCACTGCCATAGAAGAATAGTTGATAGTGGCAGGCCTAGTAAATGTATTATTATTATTTTTCCTTCTTTCCTGCTTAAATCTTTAAAGCCATAGATGAATTCTGTCAGGTAGACTCTGTGTATCTAGTCCTGTATAGCTTAGCGGTTAGGGGTCTGCGCTCATGTTCAGAAGACGATAGATTTAGGTCCTGTGTCCTGCTAAGTGACCTTATCAGCACTGTGCAAAGCCCTTAACCCAAGCTGCTCCAGGGGCAGTAGCTGACCTCACGTGTATCTCACTTCAGATGAAGGCATCTGCTAAATAAATGTAATGTATGCCCTGGTGCTTAATCTAGTAAGTAAAATTCATATTGATAAATTCCTCATTATTCATAGTAAAGTTAAACTAGTTGTTTTGTCCTTTACATACGTAAAATTCCATACTCTGCATTGAACATGCTTAGTTTTTGTTGTAGGGAGACATGATGGGTTACTGGTTAGCATGATAGCCTCTCTCCTGGTTGGGGGGCTTCAGGTCTTACCTTTAAATGTAGAATTTATGTGGGGTGCCTCTTGCTACTCTGGTGTTCTCTGGCAATCCATAAAACGCAACTTGGTGAACTTGCATCGTCACGTGGCCCATAGTGCATGTGCCCTACGTTGGACTAGTGTTCGATCTGTAGTGTTCTCTGCACCATGCTCTGTGCTTGCTGAAATAGGCTGTATGCTCACTGTGACCCCATACTGGCTAAGCAGTTATGGAAGATGGATAGATGAATTCTTGTTCACAAAACAGGCCCTGAACAAACTCCAACCCTGTGTGTTTCATAACATATTAGACTGATGGCTTCTGTTGTTAAAGCCAATACCTCTGTTCCAGCCAGAATCATTTAAGGAAGTGACTCAATACTGGCAGACGTTCAGAACTTGGGCAGGGCAGGTTGGGTTACTAAGGTGAGCATGCTGGGATTAGTCGAATCTTGAATCATAAATGAGTGCCTGGGGGAACTTTAACTTTGCTGTTTGGCTTTAAGCAGATACTTGTTCATTAAACTGACAATGCAAATTATGCACATTCATTTTAAATTTAACCCCTGCTGCAGGATTTTAAGAAAACGTTTTAAAAGTTTTGAGTCTTTGTGGTCAAGTGGACATGAATGGTGGAAGACCACAGGATGCGTGTTGCTATGGTGATCTGTAACCATTTGGAAGTCTATGTTGTCCAATGGCTTATCCAGTAGCTTATCCACTTAGCTTTCTCTGCCGGTGGTGAACTTACAGTGGTACCTGCCATTAAAGAGGTGCTTATATTCAACCCGCTACTCCGCAGATTTGTTGTTTTTTCTTGGTGCCCCTACTGTGTAAGCGCTACCTTTGATGAGGAGCATTACACTCCGGCCCCCCCGGCTCCAAAGTCTCAGGGTCCTCTGGTGGCTGAGTGAAGGGTGTGATGCCTCCTATACAATCTGTTGCTGCCCACTGAGACACTCTTCCTGCTCTTCATAAGGAGAAGGTCCTGCTCCCACTGAGATAGCTTTAAGCAGTTATCTGGTCTGTTGGTTCCTTGAAAAGTGTCAATGTCCAGCCTGCAGACTAGAAAGATGGCATCACCTCATATTAGGAACCCCACACATGATTTTCCACCTAAGGTTTTAATCTAGATCAGATTAGATATTAATAATTGCTTTCACTGATCTTATGCCTGTCCAGGTACTCACAAATGCCTCGGCCCTTCTGCTTTGAGCCAAATAACCGCTACATTATAGCCGTCCGCTTCCAGCGACACCAAGCCACTTACCGCCATCTGACTGCCTTCATTCTGATTGACTCGGTGGGTCAGCCGATGGCTCCTTCCATAAATATCCAGTTGTGTATGTAAAATATCTTGTAGTGGAAACTTATGTTGTGAACTGTCTCCACCTAGTGGTACAGTTGTTGCAGGTTGGCTAAGATAATAATTTCCTAATATAGGAGAGGCAGTTGGGACTTATGCCACCCCAGCACTGAGTTGACATGGTCTTATGTCCCATAGCTAGTTCTTATCCCCAAGTACACGGACCTGCCTGGCTTCTTGGAGGGCACGCCTGCATCAGAACACCGCCGTAAGGAGATGCTGCACTATATGTGTGTGGGGTCCTTCATGATGACGCCCCTGCCGCCTTTGGCAGAGATGTGCACCAAGCTCATTTGCAGCATCTCTGCTGTGATGCACAACGGCGCCCTGCGTGAGTAGCTGACCTTAAACCTGGTGATGTGATCTTGTTTTATTTTACTCTATGTCACATCAACTGAGGAACTTGACTCGATATTTATTCTTGTTCTCCTCTCTCCGCTGCTGCCTGGCTTTGCAGCTTGTAATTGTAACCTCCAGGGATCACTCAGCACAGAGTGTGAAAAGGTCGGAGGTCAGTGTCAGTGTAAGTCCAATGTGGTGGGTCGCCAGTGCGACCAGTGTGCCCCAGGAACCTACGGCTTTGGGGGACCTTATGGCTGCACTGGTGAGGACGCATCCTGTGTTTGAAAAAAATCCACAAGAAGACATATGTTGCTTGCAGTTTGTAGGTTTATATAATGTCAAGTATATATAAGCACATATTGGCTTTTTAGTTATTTAGGAGTGTTCCATTCTTCCTTGTTGTGACAGTTTCCCCCAGAGTGTCACTTCTGAATTGTCCTGTTTTTCTCACAGCTTGCGAATGCCACAAGTCAGGATCCCACAGCCACCAGTGTGACCTAGTGACGGGTCAGTGCCCGTGTAGGGCAGGGGCCAGCGGACAGCGCTGTGCCGACTGCCAACCCGGCCAGTGGGGCTTCCCCTACTGCAGACCATGCCAGTGCAATGGGCACGCAGACGACTGCAACAGCCAGACGGGTGCCTGCCACAGCTGCAGGGATTATACCACTGGGGACTACTGTGATAGGTGGGTGGTCCCAGAGCTCATGATGCAGCACTGAAAGGCCAGTTTCCTGAAGCAAACCCTACCAGCTGAGGATAAGTGATTCAAGCTTAAATGGCTTAGTGAGGGTGCATTGCTCTCTCTATTGGTCAGATGGATATGCTATTTGAACATATTAAGTAAAATGAAATTATATTGCAAAGTTACATTTGAAAATGTGGCCTGTGTTAGTCATATCCATGTGCAATAATAATTATTGTCAATGTATTTACTGTTTTTGTGTCAAATGTATTTCTCTGTTTGAATGACTGGTTGGGCTCTCTCCTTTGGGAGAAAGACTAAAGTCGTCTATGTGGGTTGGCATGGGTTGGACTAAACTCCTTAGACCAAATAGAAGCTTATTCTGAATGGTGCAGCACCTGCAGTGCATGCATTTAGCTATATCTTGTGCAAATCAGTCCATTTGTTGGACAAGGCTGAGAGTTGAAGATAATGCTGAATGGAGGTGAGTAAAAGTGCCTAACATTGGTGGTAAGAGCTGGCTTGAGGCGTGAATAAGGGCTGGAGCCCCAGTGTTTGTCTAGATTGACGTCCTTAGAATGCTGGCCTAGTTATGTCTTTCTGAAACATGCTGGTTTTTAAAGTGATTTCTTTCTTTTTTTGGTGTAACTTGTCAGCTCAATTTATGAGGGAAAAAATATGTTCCTTGTGGCCAGTCCAGGTTTGGATTAAACCATTATCAATTTTATACTGATTCAGATTTTCCTGTTTCTAGTGATATAAGATCTGGAAATGTGATCAGCAAGATGTAGGAGAAAACCTCAGCCAAGGAATGTCTTGAGAAATTTCTGGAAGTAACCAGAATAGCTGTAAAATAAACCCAGCTATTAAAATACCTCAGGGCTTATTAATAAAGATGAATTTTCATAAAAGTCCTGTCACAAAATAAATATTTAAGGAAATGCTGCAGATTATCCAATTAGTAGAAGCGTTAAAACAAAAGCAAAATAACACTGACATATCATATACTGTGGTTTTTATATGGCAAACAAATGGTTTAGGATTCTAATACTGACCTGCAGTGCCTGATGTATGTAATGCTGCTAATGAGGAAATGTCAGTATATTGACAGTTATTCTCCCTGCTCCACCATTGCAGATGTGTGGAAGGTTTCTATGGACACCCAGTGCTAGGCTCTGCGGAGCACTGCCGCCCATGCCCGTGCCCTGGGAACCCAGGCACCGGCCACTCTTGCCACGCTGAGCACAATCAGATCGTCTGTCACTGCCGACAGGGCTACACAGGTGAATATAATACTGAATGCGGCTTATGGCTTTTAACACATTAATTTATTACCAAAGAATTACCTAAGTAACTATGGAGATAGATTCATATCTAAAGTAATCATACTTAAATGTCATTATGATATTGCAATTTTATGAAACATAAATCCATATTCATACTTGGAAATGTGTGCTTGTGTCACCTGCCTAAGTTACATGAGTACAATCCTCATTTTACATTTATGAATCCTGATTTATGAGTTCATTATGTTCAGTTTTCCATTACGAATTTCACTTTACGCATTTACAACTTCAATACTAGATTTTTGAATTACTAGTTATGGGGGAAAAGTTACGCTGACAGTGGCCAATGGGTTTTGATAAACAAAAAAAAAATCCCGCTATCATCACGTTTTGATGAGCGTAAGCAAAATGGAGAACTCCACAGAACATTGAGGTGACTGGGCTGAAAGCAGAAGAGGATTTATGTCTAAAGTAATCTTACGTAAAAAATTAATTGTAAATCTCACAGGCCATTGGCAATGTAACTTTCCCCATGTAAGTATTGATTTGTCAATGTAGTACTGGTTGCAAATGCATTAACTAGGGGTGCACCGATCGATCGGCGCACCGATCGATCGGCCTCGATCACGTTAATTTGAGGGGATCAGAAATCGACCATATTCCCATGAGATCCACCGATCTTAGTTATATGCTTTTAACTCTTTGGGGTCGAGTATGTCGTCGACGACATCGCGTACTTTTCGCGTCTATTTCAGTTTATAAATATCTCGCTGAAAACTTAATGTATAACCATGAAAAAAACGCTGGCTAAATCCGTAATCTGTCTTCTTTTCAAAACGTCCATTGTCGGAAGTATTAAAGTTTTAAAAAATTAGGTTAAATCGGCAAAAAAGTAAACCATGTCATCTTACTTTGTTTTACCTACATCGGGGGCGTGTAGTACCGCTCTCACCCGAAGATCGCTATTCACATTCTAAATAGCCGCATTAGCGCGTATTCAAATCGCATTCGCATGGTAATTTGATTAACAGCGCAACGGTGAAACGCGATCCAGATACATCCCCTTCAGCGCCATAAAAGGGGGTTGGGGACGTGGCCAGGTGACAATGGCTCATTCATACACATGAAAGTTGCTACATATTCAATGAAAGGAGCCAGAAATAGTTACATGAGTTAGGTTTTTCTTATTTATTTATCCAAATTAATGTTGCATCTACACCATTTAGTCATCTTCATGTAGCCAAGACTTTGGTGATCAGATATCTGGGATCAAAACAAACTGCCAGCATTGCTTACTATGTACTTTTATAATGTTTCTGCAAGTGTTCCAAACTGCATTTTGCAATGTCTATACTTTGATGTCAAATTTCAAACTTAACAAAAATCTGACATATTTACAATACAGTATATATTAAAATAAAGATGAGTGTAATGGCAAAACAAATATATAAGAAATAATTTATTTGCCATGAATTAAGTGTGATGAAATGTGTGATCATGCCCGTCAGTGAAAGTGTGTTTCCTACCCCTAGGCCCCAGAGGGTTAAATCAGCCTTTTCTCCCATTCCCGAGAGAGGTGCAGTGCAGGCTGCCTCCCTCCCTATTTTTTGGACAAGTGTGTCATAACAGCTATATATATATATATATTTTACAAAATTAGAGAAATTAAAGTCTGGAAGAAAAAATATGATTTTGTAGTTCAAACAGCAATGCTCATTTATATGTTCGTTTATATTTGAGGACACTACCTCATGTTTTGTGAGTATTCATATCAATTTACTCAATAAAAATGGAAACATTGAAGTAACTGTCTTTTAGTTATGAAAGAAACAAGATCGGCAAAAAAAAATCGAGATCGGCAGGTAAGGTTGCCTAAGGATCGGTGATCGTTGATCGGCCAGAAAACTGCAATCGGTGCACCCCTAGCATTAACTGTGATTTGAAATTGCAACTTGAACATTGTTAACGCGTAAATTGCGATTTGTGGGTATCCCCTTCCTGTTCGTATATATATGGGCAGCTCAGGGCATATCCTCATATCTCCCAGGCCGGGGGGTTTCATACCTTCATGTTGACTATAGTGAGTGATTGTGTCAATGTCCTGTGGCGAACTGATGCCTTCTGCTGGGTAAGTGAATGTAATAACTTTAATTGTGTGCGGACCTGTCGGGGTCCTGAGCCAGCAGACCTGATAACTGCATAAAGGTGTCTTTTTGTATACTGTATACAGTTGTGTACATGTGTGGGTGCATTTGGCTGTGTGCATGCATACGTGCGTGTGTGTGTGTGTGTGTGTGTGTGTGTGTGTGTGTGTGTATGTGTGTGGTCCAGGTGTACCTTACCTTGTGGGGACCAAATGTCCCCACAACATGATGAATACTCGTTTTTTCCTGGTCCCCATATGGGAAAACTCTGTTTTATAAAAACCCATGACTGCAATGAAAAAACTAAAAATGCAAGAATGTGGCTGTGTGCATGCATACATGCATGTGTGTGTGTGTGTATGTGTACAGCTCTGGAAAAAATTAAGACACCACAGCAAAATTTTCACTCATTTCTCATTTTATGGGCATGCGCTTGTGTAAAATATATATTTTTTTGTAAACAACCAACCTGGCTCTTCTCTGTTTCTCATTGATGAAGGGCTTCTTCCTTCCTTTATGGCTTTATGCTTCTAGGAGCTTATTATGAATTGTCCTAGCAGTGCACTTCACACCACTTAATGTTTCCCATTCTCACCTGAGGTCATCCTCCGATTTGCTGCCGGATAAACTGACGGTCTTCATTTTTTCCAGAGCTGTATGTATCATTAGATAAGTCAATAAGATGAACACAGCTTTCAAAATGTAGCCGATCAGTGTAAACACTACCCAGACATGTGCTCTTGTTTATTTCGGTCACAATGGGCGTATTCACATATTTCTTCACCCAATACTAACTGTCGGATTATCATATTATTATCATACGAATAGTGCGATTTGCAAGTGGGTGGATGATCAGAGCAGCTTCGAGACACAGACGCTTAAGTCAGTCATTCTTGTTCGTTCTATTCGTATCACGAAGCTGTAAAAATATATTTAGTTTCTACCTATATATATTTGAAAAGTAGACCGTCCAAGGTTTCTGAG